CAGGAGCCAAGCTGCGGCAACAAGGCCTTTGTTTCTACCACAGTAATAATCCAAGAAATGCGTACATTCCAAATAAATTCATTAAACCTTTTCACTGAGCCTGATTTAATTTGGTGAGTTCTTCCAGCTCTAATTGCAATCAGTCAGATGCATACTGACATGCTCTAAAATGGGACTGATAGGAAGAATTCAGCAAAGGTTAAATATAAATCTCAAAATGCCACCAGCTAATTTCCCAAGCTCCTCCCATGAAATGAAATGGAGAAAGTGAGCGGCCATCTGGCAGTAGATGCTTCCAACACCTAGACCCGATCTGAGGCCCGAGTGCTGAAATAGATAAACGAGCTTGAATAAAACGCACATTTAACGAAAATTAATTTCAGTCACATGGCTGAGATGGAATTAAAATTTTAAATCAAATGATAGTCTTTAATTTAATAGAACATTGGAACATAACCCTGACATCCCTGAACCACACACGACAAATATAACTTACCTTTAAACCCTTCTTCTGGCAAACACACTGGGGAGGGAAGAAAAGAATTCTAAATTAAAAGATTGTTGTGACAGACAGGGATAGTACTTCAATGGCGAAAGACAGAGCGTTTAAAATAACTTTAGTTACCTTACTCACCTATGATCATTACTTGGGAATTATGGACGATATTCATCTGATAACTTTCCCCCCACCCCCTAGTTTTGTTTCTAATCGAAGCAGTGCATCTACAAAGTCAAATGCTGGTAGAGCAAACTTGGTGATGGGGCCACCGTTTTCTATGATGCCAGAGGAGGGCTGAAGGGGCACCCTGAGTGCCGCCCTCTGGAGAGTGTGATTGCGCCCCCGCCCTCACCAGACCCCAACTGCACAAGCGGCGGCTGTTTCTTCTGGTGTCTCACCTCTTTATTTTTGAACAACATGCACGTATTGCTCTCTTATCATTTTAGATGACGACTACCTTGGTAAGATAAAATTTAGCTTTGCATATTACCTACCTCCCAAGGCAGTCTTCTGACACAGAAATGTCTGCCGTTAAACCCATCTCCGCCGTGGACATCATTTTCACTGCTGATGCTGCCCACTGCTGAGCCCCTGGAACACCTGGATGAGACTTCTTCCCGGCCTGGCACATTTCTATCTCTCTGGGCCCGGTCACTGCTGCATTCTTTATGCTCTATTATTTCTGTAACTATTTCTAATTCAACTGTGCATTCTTGAGGATTTAGAAACCTTCTCAAGAGAGTCATCTACTAACCCTATGGCCAGCCTTTCCAGAAGCCTGCATCCACTGCGCCAATCTGGGACAGGATGTGCTCTTCTGGGACTTTCCTTCACCATCTCCTTAGGCCATGCCTCCTATGTTGGATCTCTGGTTGCCTGGTGCCAATATTCTTTCTTGATCTTCTATACTGCTTGGGTACAGCTTCATGTGCTCTTGACAGTGCTCTTGACATTTCGGTGTCTCCCATTAGCCCAGGAATGGGATTCATTTTCCCTTCACTTCTTTAGGGCGTTTAGGATCTTTCCAGGCATGGGTTTTCATTAGTATCATGGAGCCTTTGCATCCCCACAAATTTCTTCTTTTCTTCAAATGTCCCTTTTATATAAGCCTTAGCTTAGTTTGCTCTTTATATATGTATATATATATAAATTTTTTGGTAGGAAGTTTTAGGTTTTCGTTACTTCCTTTATCCCAGTTAGTTGGTGGGCCTCTCTTATTTCCCGCTCTCGTACCTCCACTGTCCAGAGACTTCAGTCTGTCCATTTCTAGCTGTTTAACGGCGAGGTACTAAAAACATTCCCTGGGAGCTCTGTTCACAATGGGTATTCAAAGTGGCCTTCACTGAAATGTACCCATAAGATTAACTGGTGTTAAAAAATTTGTAGACTACTCTCTTAAATTGGCCAACTTCCCCAAAGAGACGTCTCCTACTACTATCTGGGAGCTGAGGCTGGCAGCCAGCATTTTAGCAATGCCTATTCCCACCTTTCTACTTCAATGTCTTCATGGAGTTTTTGGAAATGGATCAGCACTGACTCTGATTGTCCTTCTAAAGTGGAGAAGGAGTAACAAAACCGTGAAGGAAGGGGATACATGAAGGTTTGTGGGCTAGATAGCTAACTGCATGCATGTGACACTGCTTTTTAACCAACTGTCCAGGGTTTAGGTCTACATCTCCCTCTCAAACCTCCTTCGGAGGTACCTGCTACCTCCAGTTCCTGCTGTCTCAGCAGTGAGATTTGAGTTAGATTTGCTTCTTGTTAAGAGTCTGGATGGCACATTGGTTACAACTAATTGCAAGGTCAACAGTTCATAACCACCAGTAGCTCTGTGGAAAGAAGACGAGACTTCCCACTCCTGCAAAAAGTTAGTCTCAGAACCCTGCAGGAGCAGTTCTACCCTACCCTGTGGGTTCACCATGCGTCAGAATCTACTTGATGGCAGTGAGTTGCTTCTTGTTTAGCATGTCTGTTTTCAGGCTTACATTTATTTCATTTCCTCTGGTTAGACTAATACATTTTTTCTCTCTGCTTCCAGTTCCCAAAATTTGGTGGGCATAATATAAGATTCTCCCTTAAAAGCACATAGAAGTCTTTTCAAGGTAGAAGGTAAAAGCATTGCAGTCTCTCTAATTCCACCTCTTGCCAACTGTTCCTCAACAGATATCCCTAAAACAAATTCATGTTTACCTTGCATGACATCATCCATTGCAGCATAATCTGCAATTGGTTCATCGGCCTGGAAAACAAACGAAGACAATTCAAAACCACAAGAGAGTTGGAGCCAGGAGGAAGAGAGGTCAGATATTCATCACATTCAAGTTTGGGCCATGATCAAATACAGGGATATAGCTCCAAGATACAAATGAATATCGTATCCAGTGGAGAGCCCAGCTCCAGGTCTGGCTGGCAAGGTCCAGGTTTACACAGCTGGCCTGCCAAGTGCAGATCTGGACTCTTCGCCATACAGGACGCATGCTGTGTGTGCTACTGTTTTCTGGCCCCTTAAAATCCCGTTAGCTAAAGAAATGTTCGAGATACGAAAAACATTTAACATGAGTTAAGCTAGTGGTATCAGGGAGTTAGGTAGAAGTAAAACTGGACCTTTGAAAATAAATTTTCCTCTACTTTAACATGAGTAAAGATAGGCATATCTTTATTTAACATGAGTAAAGATAGGCATACTCATTTCCTTCGTAGGGCAGAGTCGGCATGGAATCAGGGAGTCTGGTGTGCTTTCCAGCAAGGGGCCAGTGACCAGATTCTTGCTATGCCTTGAAAACAAACCTTTCAATAACACAGGCTGGCCAGTGCTAGGCTGTTAAAACAGCATCACTGGGATTCAGAACCTCAAATGGTTTTCAAAATCATGTCACTGAATCCACTACTATTGCCCAAACGTGAACAGTGTGTGTGTGCAGGGAGGGGCGGGTACGGGTCTGCTTCATCATTTTCAGGGCTGAATTTTATCACACCAGAATTAGAAGTAGGGTATAAAAAGCATAGCTTTCACAGCTCAAAACCTGAACAATGATGTTAGCACATGATGCAGTGGTGTTTGGCACAATGGGATCCTTTTGGCCACCAAGAAACAAAGGCGGCAAAGGGAACGTGACTAAATGAGGTCCTGGGGAGAGCAGGACCGTGATAGTGAGGCTGGTTCAAGGGTTCTTTCTTTGCAACTTCTCCGAATCCCCCACTGTCCCTAAAGCACCTTCCAGCTCTACTAGTGAATCCATTCTTCCAAAAGCCAATTTCGACACCCAGGACAAGAATCTCATTAAGCCAACGGAGAGGATTGCAACTGTCTTGACAGAGCCTCGTGCTTTATTCATGCTTCCTACCTTGAGTGTCTGGTATTTTTCAGGAAGGGGAGAAGAGAGGCTACTTTATTAGGAGGCATATTGTTAATTCTCCTGATTCCAAAGTTAGGGAGGATGTTGAGACCTTCAAGAGTCAGTCAGCAAAGATCACAGGCGACAGAGAGAGGCCGATTTTCAGGCATAAAATGTAGGAAAGTTATGATCACTTATGCCTGCAACCTCAACCCACTGCAGAGCAGGCTGCAGGCGTCAGTAACCGGACCTCACAGAGGCATGGATATTGAACTTCGCCTTCTTAGGTACAGGCAGCTGTTTAGGGTCTGGTGCCACTGCAGCCTACGGTGACACACAGAATCAAGACCCAAAGACGTCTTGACCTCCTCAGTCTCGTAAAACTTGGTCAGAGCCGGGGAATCCAGAATCCAGTAAAAACTCCTGGCAGCTGGGACTCAGTCCAGCCTGCAGAGGCGTCCAGGCCTACCTTCAATCACCGTTCCCTGCAGCTGACACTTGGGTGTGAATCCGGGAGACTCTCCTAGAGCTCAAGTCAGGAGGTGACACTTACCTTTAACAAAATGACAGACTCAGGAACAACGCCAAGGGTGCCAAGGGTGGCACAGTCATCACTTAAAATCTTTCCATCAATTGACAAATTCTGGTCAAAAGGAGCAACTGAAAACGCATGCATGATCTGTGACAATACAAAAGTAAAGTAAGTTTGCATTAAGAAAAACATGGACACCCATCTCCTCTTTGAATAGATAATGTAAGAATTCTTAAAATCCATAGCACAAAGGATACAATGTGCAGTCTGCCCACTTGTTACATTCCCACTGAGACTATCACCCTAATATAGCTGCACAAGAATTAGGAAACAATAAGACACAGTCTTGTGTTTTGTACCTAACCACCTCCTCATGGGTGGGGTGTGGGGAAACCCAGCTGTCAATTACTCCTGTTATAAGGGCACAGGCAAGGTCAACACTACCACTTTACCTCTGTCAGGTCCCATGTCATTTAATAAAGCAGTATAAATTTAACTTTCATTAACCATTTTCATATGAAATAGTCATCCATTTGGACTTTTCTCCTATTTGTTTTCACTCCTTTAGCAAGTAGCCTGTGATACATAATTCAGGTCTATTCTTAGACTGTGTGTCCATCCTATAAAACAAAATGTGCATTCCTGAAAGGCGGGAAATATTGCACTCCACTCTAGTTCTGGTCTAAGTGGCAAAAATAAAAGAGATTCAGAATAGCCTTTATGTAGAATAATGTAATGTATCTCCCCACCCCTCACCCCCACTTAGAAAGGTGTCTTTCCCTTTGTGTGTGTGCAGGTCATTTGGGGTAATGAATTATCTTGGGGTGGGGGTAAGACAAGCAGGCTTTAGGCTGAGACACACAGAGAGGAACTGCAGTGGTAGTTCTATTAGGTTGCCCAATTCAAAACAGTAGCAAAATTATGTTATGCTGTTATGAAGCAGCAACAAAAATAATGTTATGATTGAGGGGTCACCATCAAATGAGGAACTGTATGATAGGGCTGCAGCATTGGGAAGGTTGAGAACCACTGGGAAACCACTCTACCCTTGTCCACACACTTTTGGAACTTACCAGCAAAGCAGCTCTGATCCAACTGTGTGTATAACAAGATCCAAGAGCTTTAAAAGCTGGGAGACTGTAACTAAAGTGCCATTTTGATAATGCACAGAGATAAATAAGAACAATGACTATAGCACTGGTTTCTTCCTTGGCTGTAGAGCCAGAATCTTATTTGGACTTCTCAAACATGCATCAGGCCTAAAGATGCAAGCAAGAACTGATTAAACGGGACCTATGGCTAACAAAATAAAGTATATTGGCATGGTTACTGATCTGCATATTAAGCAATAAGTCCATTTCTGGTGAGCAAGTACCACTGGCCAGCTTCACACACGGGCATGAAGAAGAGGCACCCAGCCGGGGGCGTTTCGGAGAGCTACTGTGTGCCGTGTACTCGGCTAAGTGTTAGAAATACGAGGGTAAGTAAGAAAGCATTGCTATGAAATCACAGGACAGCAATCTTTATTAAACTATCTAGGTCTACACGCTTCCCCAAAGAATTTTGTGCTCTTTAATTCACATCATGTCAACATTGTAATTTTCATGCCTTCAAAGGACTCAAGACACGTTTCTTGGAATTATTCTTAGAGTTAGAGGAAGAGAAAGAAGTCTGAAGGGGGCATTATCAGGTCCAGAGGGTGGCTAGGGTATGGTCTCCTGATGAAGTGCCCATAGCCCAACCCTTGGTCCCTTGAAGAATGTGCAGGTGCACCACTGTGATTAAAAAAAAAGAGAGAGAGAGAGAGAGAAAATCCTTGGTGCAACTTTTCCATTTTCTTAAAATGTCTTCCTGAACAATCCTCAAGATGTCCTATGTACTCTCTGCTTTGACATGAATGGGCCCAGCAGATGCCCTCGGAGGCCACTGTTTTGATTGGACCCTGTTTTTGAAGGCACCCTGAAGAGACGAACACCAGTGTATTACTGAGGGAACTATCTGGGCCCCCACTGTGGCAGAGACAAGTATAAACAAGTTTTGCTTGGAATAAACGGGTGGTGTGTGTGTATGAACTGGAATCCCAGTAGCAATACTTTTTTAAAAAACTTATCCTCGTATAAAGAAAATATTCAATCCCATGCTAGAGGGGTTCATCAGAACGAAAGGACATACAGTATTTCAGATGTGGCAGGAAATGCATGCGTGATGTAATGTGTGCACAGAGGAAAGAAGAGTCCCTCTCACAGCGGGCTAAGGCAGCTTTCCCAGAAGTGGTGCTATGGAAGATGAGCGTGTGTCTGCAGTGAGGAGAAGATTGAGGGACGGTGAACTGAAGACCATCCCTACTGAATCATCCAGGCTCCCGGCACATCTGTTTAAGCAGCAGGTGTGGCATTCCTGATCCAGGGTGTGTAGCACCGGCAATGAAAAGCCTGTTCCTGAAGGTGAGCAGCTCTCTCCCCACCAAGGGCGGAGCTAAGGACGGGGAAATGCAGCAGGCACGAGGCCCCAGCCCCAGCCACTTTAACGTGCTGCCAAAATGGATCCCTCTCTGAAGCCGGGAATATCACCTGCTCAAAGCCTCGATTTACCAATACAATTAAACACGGAGAGTCTTCTGAGCAAGGAAATGAATAAACTGTACTTCATTCACTTTACGGCAACATAGGAGGATGAATGGCAATTAGGGAACACTAAGCTTTCAAGCAGTGGTGCGCAGATCCCCATCTAAATCAACATTTACAGTTTTATAGAGGCTGTAATCTTATTAACTTGGAAAAGCAGCATCACCCAGAGAAAATACTATTCATACATATGAAATGTATTGCATACTTATTGTTAAAAAAATCACCCATCGCCACCAACTGAGAAGCCCCCACCCCCACCCCCTTATGCAGGCCCTAATGCTATAGAACCGCCAGGGCTATTCAGGCTGTGAGGCAGGCTGCCGAAGCTTCAGAAGAGACCACCACTGGGCGCAGAGGGGAAATTGCATTTTGTTGCCCCTTCTTCTAGCTCTCTGTGATCACAGTGATTCTGGAAGCAAGAGAGGGGGTGAAAGGAAGGACACTGCAAGGGCCTGCACATCTGGGGCTTCACTGACAGCTGCTGTCTTTCAGCAGCTCATTCGTGCAGGTCACACACACTCAGACGGAGAGGTTACTTCTGCTGACTTATGATTTATTCTTCAAAAATGGCAGTCCAGAATAAAAGCAGCACAGGCTGTTTTAAAAATGTCTTCAGCTACAGGGGCTCTTTTTATAATTTAAAGGGCTTGCATGTTCGAGGTTTACCACTGACAGGCAGAAAGCTGGTGATAAAAACAAGCTGTCTCAGATATAAAAAGTACAATAACAGAGTAAAGATATTATGCCAACATGGTCATTTTCAGAGCCTTGGGTTCAACCAAGGGAAATACTGACTGTACTCAGGACAATTTGGCACACACAACACCCTCAAAGGAAGCCTGTATTGTTGCTGCAACTGCAATGATAAACATCAGCCACAAGAAAAATGCACAGCCAGTCAACTATGCCACATCACAGTAGCAAAATGGGGAAGACGCTGATCGACCGTTTGGGTATGGATCCTGACTGAAACAGATTAGGGATTAGATTTTTTTTCAGAGACACCTTGAATTTACCTGATCCATCTGTCTAAGCTTTGAACAGTGCAATACTCAATTATAGTACATTAGGACTAATACCAAGAATAATACTATCACGTGCATTTTCATAACACCTCCACAATGGTCACCAACTGATAAACACAGAAAGCAATTAGTGCTATCAATGGGAGAAAAAAACACCATCTAAAACAAAGCTTTATGCCTTTTTAAGTTTGAATAATCACTAAATTAAGAGGGGTAGAAGGAATTTAAAAATTCCAACAAGTAGATTTATCTGCCACTAAAAACATTGAGAGAAAGAATTTCTGACTCAATTAAGGAGCTGCACCCTTTACATCTCAAAGCCGATCCTGGTGACCTGGTTCAAATACCTAGCAGTGGACGAAGGCAAGAATATAGCACAATAAAGCCAGAGAACAATAATTCTGGAACAACCTCAACATGTGACTAATTAAGTGGTGCTTTGTGTTTCTCATTATTAGAAGGCTACTCAGGCTTGCTCAAGTTTTCAAAAAACACTTTTGAGTGTTACAGATAAAAAAATGATCATTCTTTTTACAATGTAGGCATGGCTCTGAAAACATAAAAAGCCTCTCTCGACGCTTTCTGACAGTGAACAGACAGATGTTGAAAGGCCAACCCAGAAAGAAAACAGATATGTGCAACAATGTCAATGAGAGCAGGAACCCAGTCCAGCCCCAGCCCTCACAAGTCCACAGGGCACTTAAACAAATGTTCTCTTTTCCTCACCTGAATTTTTAATTCTTTTAATGTTTGATTAGCAGAAACGAGAAGCGCTTTCTCACCACGAACTTTTCTATGCCTCATACTTCGTCGAATAACTTGCTTTTGATAAGCTATGTAATTCTGATGGGATATCTTTTGCCGTTTTGTTCCTCCATTGCTCTATAAAGATTCAAAACACAGAACACAGTGAAATGATCCACAGTGACCCTTGCTCATAAAGTTCATCCTGCAAGCATCAACTGTTGACTTAATGGTCCCTGAACCACTTGAAATGCAATGTGAACAAGGAGCAGACACTTGCCCGAGGGCTCAGAGAAAGCTGGAAGTAGGGATGCACACTATACAAGATGCACTTCAAACTGCATGTAAGCTCCAGGATTTTTCATTTTACTATCTTTTTTTAAAGGTATTTAGAAGCTTAATATTAAACCAGCAAACACATATAAACAATAAAGGGGGGGGGGGTAGGGAAGGTCAAAACTACTAAATTGCCTAAATTCTCATTTGTTTTCAATCTTTTCTTCTCTGAGAATGACAGTAGAAGCTAAGTAAAAACTGCTGTGAATTTAAAAATCAAAGATATTAATATAACAAAATCATCATATTTAGTTTTAACTAAAAGTAGGATGAGCAGTGTGCCTCGGGTCACGATGATGTAATACACGGCTTCCCCTCTGAAACACTCTGGTTAAAATCTCACTCACACACACGGATACACACAGACCGTAAGAAGGTAATCAGTCAGACCCTGAATGTGGACAATCTTCAAGGAATCGGAGTGGTCTCAGTCAATGTCAAGAAGAAAAAAGCGGGAGGAGGCAGAAGAGTACTATTCAAGATTATCCTAAACTTTCGACCAGTACCACACAACAATGCCCACCTGGATTGCATAGTGGTCTGAGGGGCATTTTTTAGACAAATTTGGGATAACTGGACAATTTGGGTTTGCGTACATTAGGGAATTTGATACTTTTCTGTGAGTACAGAATTACCACTATAAAGATACTGTTTCTTATTTAAGGGTAAAAAATTATGACAGCCACAATTTGCCTAAGAATAATTTATAAAAGGGCACACACATAGATCTGGAACATGTTGCATATTTTTTGCCACACAGTTAAGAAAAATTGATAAACAGGGGGTCAAAAGTTCATCTTTCATACTCAACAGTCAAGATTTTCTTGCTGCTAAGCAGGCCAGAGAGCAAGAAGGGGAGGATTAGAAAACCCTTTCTCTGGTTTCGCGAAGTCTGGATGCTCTTGTTCCTGCGGCTGTCTGTCACTGGTGTCAGCGTGGCCAGGCAGAGTGGTCGGGGACCATTCTGGACATAGATGCCGCGTCCTCATCGCCGAGCGCTCCGCAGACGTAGAAAGCGGAAGAGGAAGAGGACACAACACAGAAGCACATCATGCAGGGGAGGGTGGGAGGCGTAGGCAGTGCACAAGGCTAGCTCCAGCTCCCGCTGAAGTGACACAGATACATAGTTGATTCTAAGATAC